TTCAGATAAGATTCTATGTCGCCCGCTCTGGCCCCCGGAATGCATTTGACTATGGCCGCTGGAGTCCCTAAAGCCACGTTTCTGACTATGGAGCTTCCAATAACCAGGGTCTGTTTCTCAGCGGGTGTGTCACTGAGCAGGAAAATCGATTAAAAACGTGAACGGGTCGGTGGTGAACTGGGGACTTAGCCTTAGCACTACACTTGCTCTGGACCGTCACCCAGCCGGCCTGGGGTCCCGGCTGCTCGGGGTCTGCTGGAGGACCGCTAACGGGAGCTAGCCTCTGTGGTTCCACGCTGTCTAAGGGGACCTGGCTAGCTACTGGTTTTTCTACAGCACGGAGCCGAGCTTCCAGTTCAGACAGCCTCTCCTCCAAAGCTACCATAAGACTACATTTGTTACATGTATCATTACCACTAAAGGAGGCAGAGGAGTAACTAAACATCTGACACACGGAGCAAGAGAAAACAGAGGAAGCAGGGAGAGAAGCAGCAGCCATGCTAAGCTAACGCTAGCAGGAGCTAGCAGAGCCAAATACACCAATAAAAACCGAGAAGTGTTGAAAGATAAGAGGTGTTTTAAGCACTATCCAACAGTAGAAAAACAACTGTACTAAGTGTGTTTGTGAACTAGAATGAAAAACTATGCAAAAGACTGATAAATCCAGAAAACACAGACAACTCGAGCAAACAATTCACTCGAGCTACCAACAGACAAACAGGAAGTGACACAATACGTCTCACCACGAACGTGCAACGTCAGCCAGGATTTAATATAGTAAGGCTGTTTTGAGTTACTTTGAAAGTTTTTATTTATTTATGTACTGTGACATCTGTTGTTTTATTGTCTGTAACTGTACAGCACCTTGGTCCCAGTCACACCTCGGACTTCAGAGACACAGAAAAACAGTCAATGGTGTTTCAGTGACATGAGGTGATTTCTGGATGAAGTCTGACTCGGTAAACATCAAACCAGTGTTTTTAAAAAAAGCCTCAGAATATTTCTGCCGTCTAAAGCTACAAACATTAAATCCACAAAGTCAAAGCTGCATGTTTTTTAAAGGATCAGGTGTAACATCCCCAGGTGTCTTTTGTTCACTCCCTGACTGCAAAGCAGCTTTGGTGGGAAAAGAAGCTATTCAGCATCAGGTAGGTGATAAAGATGTTATGGCTGATTAAAAACAGCATTTTCAACCACAACTATTTGTCTCTTTGGTGCTTTTAGAAACTAAACTTTACACGATATTTATAGACGGCAACCAATTCTCAATCCAGCTGTCAGCAAAGCAGGGGGGCTCAAAAAATGTTTTAATGGCGCAGCCATGTGGGGCTGCTGATAACCCTGTAGCATCATACCATTAAAACAGGAATGTAGTCGTTTCCTTATGAAACTAGACTATACACGACTATATACTAGAGTAGACCGTCACAAACTGGTCTGTTAAGCACAACATTGTTGTCCACCTGGTAAAGAACGCTGGTGGCCCTCCTGAAGCATTCTTAAAGCTTCGTGCTGTGAGGTTTAAAACAGCAGATGTCTGAGGGACTATCTGCCTTACACCCTGAGGTCGTCAGAGTGCACATGCCTCGGCGCAGCAATCCCAGAGGGGATTCCTGAACCTGACAGAGCTCAGAGGAGCTCTCCAGGTGAAGCACATTAACTGTAAGCCAGGCAAGGAGCGCAGAGCGAGGCACTGACAATTAAAGCTGACACCTTCACGTTATGAAGGTTTGTAACACAGGAAGCTGAAGTCTTTAACAAGCAAGAGATGTACTGTACTCTAGTTTTTAAATTTGTTTTTTAAGAAAAGAATTGCCAGCTTCTGTAGCCGAGGATCAGACCGATCGAGGGAAAAATGGAGCGTGAGATCGATAGGTGGATAGGTGCAGCGTCAGCAGTGAAGCGTACAGGTCTGTCGTGGTGAAGAGAGAGCTGAGTCAAAAGGCAAAGCTCTCAATTTACCGGTCGATCCCTTAGAGCTAGGGTGAGAAGCTTGATCATCCGGGAGGGACTCAGAGTAGAGCCGCTGCTTCTTCACATCGAGAGGAGCCAGTTGAGGTGGCTCGGGCATCTGGTTAGGATGCCTCCTGGATGCCCCTGGTGTTCCAGACACGTCCCACCTGGAGGAGACCCAGAGGAAGACCCAGGACACGCTGGAGGACTATGTTTCTTGGCTGGCCTGGGATTGACTTGGGATTCCCCCGGAGGAGCTGGCCCAAGTGGCTGGGGAGAGGGAAGTCTGGGCCTCATTACTTAAGCTGCTACCCCACGACCTGACCCTGGATAAGCGGAAGAAAATGGATGGATGGATGAAGAAAATAATTGCTGTGGAAAACGTCAACAGATATGTAGTAATTACAATGACCTTGAGTTATTTTGCAGTAGGCCTAACTAGTTAATCATTTTTTGACGCCACAGCACAAAAATGATCAATCTGACACCGCCAAATTACACACCACTGGAAAGGCCTCATGATACAGATTTTAAAACAGATGCAGCCTTCCAGTCAACGTCTTTCTCAGGGAAGGCCTTGCTGGTTTCAGCAAGACCATGTTTAGCCTTGTACTGCATCCATTTCATTCAGTTAAATTCAGTTTATTTATATAGCACCAAGTCACAACAGAAGTCATCTCAGGGCACTGAACAGAAACATTCACATACATAAAAACACAATTAGTAAAAGTTCTCTATCTAAGGAAACAGCAGACTGTGTTGAATTGTTACATCGTTACAGGCTCCCATCCTGAGCAAGCACAAAGGAGACAGTGGAAAGGAAAAACTCCCTTTTAACAGGAAGAAACCTGCAGCAGAACCAGGCTCAGGACAAGCGGCCATCTGCTTCAACTAGCTGGGTCTGAGAGGACAGGCAGTTGAAACAAACAAAGAATGACAGGTCCAGATGGACTTTCTATAGGAGGAAAGACAAAAAAAACATGTTAAGATAGAAATAATTACAAATACTAACAGGTAGAGTAAGTAAAGACAGCAGCAGAGTGACAATGTGTTAAGTTTGTCCTCCAGCAGTCTAAGCCTATAGCAGCATCACTAATGGACAGCTCAAGAAACCCAAGCCGACCCTAACTATAGGATTTATCAAAAAGGAAAGTCTTAATCCCAGTCTTAAAACTGGATAATGTGTCAGCCTCATGGACAGAAACTGGAAGTTGGTTCCACAAGAGAGGAGCCTGATAACTGAAAGATCTTCCTCCCATTCTGCTCTTGGAAACTCTAGGAACCACAAGTAAACCTGCAGTCTGAGAGCGAAGTGCTCTGTTAGGAATGTTCCATCAGCATTTCTTCATGTTACAAGAGCCCTGCTGCTGAACTGGGTCTGCTGATGAGGTTTAACGTTTTGCTGAACCAGAGCAACAACCTCCGTGCTGTGCAAAGATTGTGAGTCTTGTTTTGAGGAATTGTGTCCAGAAAAACAATCACATTCTATATTTCTCTGCATTATTCAAAACAATATAGAAAATGCAAAATCATGCATGTTTATTGTTTTTAGGTAAACTTGCCAACGTTAAGCAGGTCTGGTACTTGAAACATCTTTTTTATTTATTTCTTGAATCTCATTTGTGCTCTTAATTTTTGTATTTGTGATTATTTATCAAATATATGTTTTTTTATTTCTTTATGTTAACTTATTTCTACATGTGGTAGCAAACGTGTAGTTACTTTGTTAAGAGTGCATTCAAAAGGCAAATAGAAACAAATCTTTATTTTAAAGCAGGTTCATTGGCTCTCTGTAGCCAAACATGACATTTATATATATATATATATAAAAATACAACAATATAAATTACAGACAGGAAGCAGCAGAAATATTTACAGTATATACCTTTTCTTAAATAAGAAAACCAACAAACTCTCAAGTCAGTGAACACAGTTGATATCACAATAAATGTAACAACATTTTAAACACTTTGTACAAACAATTGTTTTTAAAATAGTCAATATGACTTATTGTCATCAACTCTCCACAGGAAAATCACAATAGTTTAAAGGACTAACCTGGTCATTTATAAAGTGATGTTCTGTCAACTGGTTATCATCAACAGGTAGTACGCTGTCAGCTGTGACCAGTCATGGAGACAGTGTGGAGAAAAGGACTAAATTTGGGCTGGCCAAACACGGCACAGAATTTTTTGTTTTTCAGGTTTATAGAACAAATTTTTTACTGACACACTGGTGTGAAAGAATGCTACATTAGCTAATACTTAATCTGCACACTTTTGCCAATAAAGAACGTTGGTCCTGTTCTGGTTTTCCCTTCCTGGCTCACATCAGAGGTCTGTTCTGATCTGGTGGACTAATACGTTCAGGCATCATCAGCATAAACACAGACTCAACACAGACATTCACGTTGTTCGGCTGAGAAAACAACAAACTGAGCAGCTTCCTGCAGGAGTGTACATGTTAAATATTATCTCTGATGTAGTCTTCTCTCACTTGTACTGGTGTTGGAGAAAGACTTATTTTAGAAGCCTATACAAATGTAAGAAAACAGGCCCTCGCTTGGCTAGCATCAGTGGTGTAGTCTACATGATACGCAGGTATACAGAGTATACCCACTAGAAATGCTTAAGAACTCCAGTATACCCACTAGAAATGCTTAAGAACTCCAGTATACCCACTAGAAATGCTTAAGAACTCCAGTATACCCACTTCATTGTGCCCAATGATACATGACATATCATCAGGCATGTGTCATCGATACGTTAAATGGCAGCTTCTGTAACAATCTATCTGTCTGTACGCAGCGCTTGTTTATTACATTCACTTATCCAGCAAATTATTGTATAATTAATACTTCTGTACTTACTACTTAATACTTGACCATGTTTTGCTTTGGTACTGTTTTATAAATTCTATAACATGTTTTTAATACAAAGCCAACTGTTGAACAAAGTTTAAGCATCAGAGAAATTTGGAAATATTCAATATGCTTAAAAATCAAAATAAATTGACAGTTACATTGTACTAACCAGTGTACTTTGGTTTCTAAGCACAGTATATGGACTGACCACAGAAAACTTAGGTTTACGTTGGGCGTTAGACATTTGTGCTACGTGGCTTCAGCGGTGTCCAACGTAAAACTAACTTTACCGCAGTATACCCACTACAAAAATGTAAATGACACCACTGGCTACCATTAAACTAGCCTGGAGGAAAACTTCTGACTTTTTTCTCCAGACTACGCTCTATGACTGAAGTCACGTCTGATAACGTTCCACTTACTGATAATCATTTGACTAAACATCCCTTTAGAAATAACCAGACTGTCCATTCAGTTTAGATTTGCTTGCTGAAATGCAATTTGTCGTTGGAAAAAGGCTAGACGGTCTTTTATATTCATTTTAACACAATATCTTTGTAAAATCTGAATTTGACAACAGTGTTCACATAAACATTTTCAATGATCTTTGTTTTATGTCACCATTCTGTCCACAGCTTTGAATTTGGTAAAGCCTGATAGCTTTTGCGTGTATGAATATATTACGAAACAGAACAACTTGGCAGTTGTTTTGTACCTAACCGTGCAGAACGTCCACAACGGGCCTACCTGGTGAGGAGTGTGTGCCTGTTGGGAAATGCTTTACGGCTCACAGCACAGCACACAGGTCGAGACTTGCCCATTGGAACACCAGAAAGAAAACACTTCACTGATCAAATTAATTAATTTGTAGTTTTAGATACCACATCAGTTTGTCTTTTTACATACCAGAACAATGAAAACCCATTCATACTGGAGTCTTTGTCTTCCTGTTGATGGGCTCTGGTATAAATCCCATTCTCACTGATCACATCAAGACAGAAGCAGAGTTCAGAACATTCTCGTTGGTTTTGATGTTTTTTCTTCTGCCTTTTTGAACTTTTATGACTTTTTGATTGCAGTGGGGGCAATCATCATTACACTGGACTTAAGTGGGTAGTACCGTCCCCTCCAGGTCTTCCAGAAGATACCTTGCTTTCTCTGATGGCGCTGCTTTGGAGGAGGGCTCTGGAAGTATCTACCATTTAAGTTGGAGCGACCACAGCTACTGAACCACCAACCACCTGTAAAAACAGGAAAATACTGGTTTGGATGCTGCGTATTGGTCAAAATGTGTTTGAAGCCTGTGGGAACTTACCAGAGAGGTGTTTGGCACAGTTGATGTTAACTTTGTAATCGTTGTCCCGATCACGGGTAGTGAAAGCCAAACCGAGGACGGCATCAGCTCCCAAAGAACTCTCAAGTGTGCCAAACGTGTCGGACTCCTGAATCTGGAGGGAATAGTTTGTTTCCCTTCCTCCCAGTTGGAATGGAAGTTGAACGGATGCTGTGTCATCTTCCCAGTCTGAGAGCTGGATGTTGAGAATGTAGCCACCATCTTTAGCAACACTGTGGATGTGCTCCAAACCCAACCAGAATTCTCCTGGAATAAAAGAAAAACGTGCGATAGAAATGAAAATAGAGTCCGAGGACAGCTAATCTGGCCCTGGGTTGACCTGCTAGTACCAGGCAGTAAGAGTGGATAAAAGCCTAAAGAGCATTTACCGTTCAGGCTGCCAAAGCCGTTCTCGTAAGCCTCCCACAGCTGGTCAAAATCCACTGAGCCGTTTTGGCGCCTTTGGATCACTGTCCATCCTCCATCTACAGAGAGACAAATGGATAAATTGATTTTAAAATGTTGCAGCAGCTACAAACCCACTCACCCAGCACACACACTTTTTGCCCCGCTCCCCCCTCAGGCAGGAGGTTGAGGAGCATGAAGTGTAGAACCACTCTAACCAGAATAATCATTGTGGAAAATCACTGCAATGCAACTTTGATGGTTGATATGTGCTGCTGATTATACATGCTGCTGATCTCATGCTGCTGATTATTTCATGCTGCTGTGCTCATTCATTCGTACTCATCCACTCACAGAGACTCATGTCCGTGCAGCTGTTCGGCACATTGTTTTATTATTAGTGTTTAGTGTATATCTTGGATATTTGATCCTTATTTACTGTTTCTTTTTACACTTTATATTTTTGCTATTTTTGGATGTAACTGGGACCTTGAGTACACGATTTTGTTCCACCTCATGCACCACATGTGATGTGAATGGTAATTAAAAACCTTGACCTTGACAAACCCCAGTTCCAAAAATGTTAAGCAGTTGTGTAAAATGTAATTTAAATAGAAGCAACAATTTGCTAATCTCATAAACTTATATTTTATTGACAACGTAACGTAGTAAACACACAAAATGTTTAAACTAAGACATTGTTCCATTAAATATGAGATCATTTTGAATTTGATGGCACCAACACATCTTCAAAACTCTGGGGACTGGGCACCTGATGACTCAAAGTCAATCTGGTTTGAATCAGAAACAGTTAGAAAAAGATTTTGTAGCTAATTATGTTAAAGGTGTAAAAAGAGATTTTTAGAGAGAAGTGGAAATGGGCAGAGGTTCATCAGACAGCCAAAAAGTGTAAAAAAAAAAAAAAAAAAAAAAAAAAAATTCAAGTTCACCAACGGAAAATTTAGAAGACTCTAAACATCCTATCATTTATAGTTCATGGTATCGTCACTGGTTTCCAGAGTCTAGAAAAATCTCTGAGCTCAAAAGGCAAAGAATACTAATATTGGCTGGTTGTCATCTTCGGGCCCTTGGGGGCCACTGCATCAAAAACAGGTCTGATTCTGTTCTGGATCTCACTGCATGGGCTCAGGAACACTTCTACAGTTCATTGTAAACACAGCTCACATAAACGCTGCTTAAAGCTCTATCAGGCAAAGAAGAAGCCATCTTTGACCATCCAGAAGCGCTGCCGTTGTCTTTGAACTCCTTCAAAATGATCTGAGGTAAAGAGGAAATCTGTTCTGAGGTCAGACAAATGTGAAATGATGAGAGAAACCATCCTGCCTGATATTAGCACACAGTTCACAAGCCTGCCTCTCTGTTGCTATGGGGGTGCATTAGGCGCACTAATGCAGCTTACACACCTGGAAATGCATCGTCAAAAAATCCTGTAATGAAGAGCGAGCTAGAATTCTCCACCAGACAACATTCTTCTCCAAAATCTCAAAACACTGGTCTATCCATGGACCTGTCTTTTTGAATGCCATCAAATTCAAATCCCACAGTAAACATTTGTTGTTTACTATATTCCACTAAGAATAGAATATGAGCTGTTTTAATTTACATTTTACACAACAACCCAACTTTTTGGAGTTGGAGTTGTTGTGATCTTAAAATGGTAGAAGGACTCGCTCTGCTCACCAGCTGTTATCTCACAGAAGACGTTGAAAGGTCCTGAGTCTTCTGGTTGGATGGTGTAGACCCCGCTGGTGGTCTCTCCTCGCAGAAACAGCTCATGACAGTCTGCTGCCACCTCTGGGGGAGCAGAGAGAAATCAACAGTCAGTAAACTTACTGGGCGTTTGTCCTTGACCTGGCAACGAAGCATCAGATAGGATTCGGTTTATGGGCCGAAGCAGCTACAATCAATGGCAACATTCAAACTTTTCTTTTAAAGACTAACATTATTTACTTTGTCCCCCCCCAATGGAAACCTGAGTGCCCTTACAGCCTCACACACCCCTCACTTGGACTGCAGTTCATGTTAGTCACATTATAAATGTGTTTTAGCTTCACTGAATATTTACTGAGTTAGAACAAAAATAAAGTGAATTCAGTTCAATTTAGTTTATTTCTATAGCTCCAAGTCACAACAGACGTGGACACTGAACAGTAACAGTCATATACATAAAAAGCTAGTTAGTAAAATATTTTGATTAGAAAAACCCAGCAAAGTTCAGTCAGGTCTTCTGAACGGTTTATTTTGGTTGAAACGTTTCATCTTTCATCCGAAAGACTTCATCAGTCTGAGGAGCCACAACAAACTCAGTCTTATAAATAGCACCTTCACATAGTGGACCAGGGCTTAATTTGATCCGGATCCTGCCTGAACAGGGTCCGGGAACACACTTATTTTATCAGGGTGTGTTTCGGTAAATGTTTGCTTAGATCCAGTAACTCTCAGGCTTACTGATAAAAAAGCTATGAACAAATATGACTGCACTGAATGAAAAAAAAAACTTATATTGGAGAAGTAAACTGAAAATAATGACATAAACACTCATTTTTAACATAACAGCCACTTACGAGCTTCCTAATATCACATATGAGCTGCCCCTTCAAGTAAGCATTTCCACTTCTACCCTTAAAAAAATCTCCACCCATGGGGGGGTGGGCTTAGGTTGCTTGAGAGAAGTGGAGCGTGCTCTATTCACACAAGGAGGGCTGTTGGCCAGGCTACTTCTTGTTGCTCTCTAAAGTAGTTAATAAATGAAGTGTTTTCTTATGTAGGTAAACATAGATGTTTAACGACCTGTTAAAATACACCAAAATGTAGGAAATGGCATCTACTTTATTAAAAATTTTCTGGGGGAAGACCCCCAGACCCCACCATCACTATTTGAGTTCCGGCATCGTTTGGTTTATTAATTAAGTGTTGCAGTGGATCACACAGTTTGATGGTGCTCAGGTGGTTCCTGTAGTCTGCCCTTGAGTCGGCGGGAGAGAGGGTGGACTCCAGAAACCACCTGAGCACCATTGAACTGGTTGGTCCACTATGTAAGATGATGTTTACAAGACTTTTGTTGTGGCTCCTCGGACTGATGAAGTATTTCGGATGAAAGATGCAACGTTTCAACAAAAAGAAAACATCCAGAGGACCTGACTGAACTTTCTTAGACCAATTAGTAACAGTTTAGGAAGCAGCAGACGCGTTGAATCTTCATTTTGTCGCAGTCTCCCATCCTGAGCAAGCACAAAGGCACCAGTGGAAAGTGAAGTGCAACGTATGTATCAACTTGTAGAATTTGTCCTATCCTGCATTTCTTGTTTCAAGGCAGTAGCAGTGGCTTTTACACAAGAATGAGTTTGTTTACTCCACCAAGCTGCCTTAAATAGATGGTTTACAACAAAAGAAAGCCTGCAGCAGCAGGGCTGTCTGCACTGAGGGAGCCAAGTGTTTGCAAACAGGACTATCAGGAGCAAGCCCGATAAAGTCTTCCAAAAGAGAGTGTGATGAATTCTGCCTCCGTCGTAAACATGACCTTTCTCCCAGTTCCCAAACAGAACTGCTTCTTTATGACTGCTCAGCCTTGCAGCCACACTACCAGCCTTTACATTCCTCAACCCCGGCCCCTTCCCACTTAGCTCATCACACACCAGTCGCATGCACAGCAGCCAGCCACTGACGTAGACGTGCATGGCTGCTGCATGCATGGGGAGTGATGAATGGTTGTGGAAGGGGGTAGGGACGGTTTTGTGAGCAGGGAGGCAGCAGGAACTGCCATTAATGAGACACAAGACGAACTCTGTCGTGACGGTGAGGTCTCATGTGGGAGCGCAATGTTGAAAAAATAACTCATGAACCACTGATACGTATTTAATGAAACTCAGGAAGTAACGACTGGATGTTCCTCTACAGCTGTTTCATTTTTGAAGTCAGTCCAAGTCAAGATGGACACCCCAGATATCTAATATTTGCCAACACTTAAAAGGGATCAAACTGGGTGAATTCCACAGATACTGAGCTAAGAATTGTTGTGATAGTAGCTGAGAGTGATCTACAACACATACCCAGGTGATACTGCATGAGACTGTCCACATTGATTTCAAGATTTGTCAAATTTGCTACAATTCATCAACATAAGATGATCTTAGACTAATCTTTGGCGTTAAGGCAGCGATTGAAATGCATTTCTTTAAGAAATGCTCGGCTTTAATCGACGACTCTCGTTGGATTACCTTCTCTACATACTCAAGGTGAAACTCATTGGTTTGCCCTCATTTACAAGACGTTGCTGCGTTGTTCACCTACAGATTTAACTCATCTACTACAACTAGCACTGGCTTCAAAGTATAATTTTCATCTTTCATTTCAATTCATTTAAACAGTGCCAAGTCACAACAGAAGTCATCTCCGGACACTGACCAGAGACATATTCAGTCCAGGAACCTTCTCTGTTGCTATGTAGGAACAAAAGTTCCTCTACATTTTGTGGATTGAGGGTGGACCGCCTCTCCTCAGTCAGTCAACACTGAAACTACACTCAGAAGGAGTGCTCGTTGCTGGGACTGCTAGCAGCCTCTTGGCAACTGGAGCTAGCCCACTGGACCTCTCCTGCCAGAAGCTGAGAAGAGACTGGAAACCTGTCAACAAGAGTCACTCATGTATTGTAGACCAACTGGTGGCCCCACTGTCCTCCTCCATCTCCTCCTCTTAACACAACTGGAAAAGAAGTTGTGCATCTCTGTGTCAGCTGCCTCTGGGGGTGGACCCTCTTCCTTAACATGGCATATAACATGTACATAATATATGTACTATATGTTTTATATACTCATATACCACCCGATCCTCTCAGTGTTTGTGGTCAACTCTATAAAGACCAGGTCTGGCTTTGCCTCTGCTGCTCCATCTGACTGGAAGCTGCTTCAAAAACGTTGGGTCTGATCTCACTTGTCTCAGTTTATAGTTTTAAAAATCGTTTAGAAGTTGTTTTTAAAGATACTTGCAAATGCTTTCATGATTAGTAATGTTGTCTTTGACAGTGAACTCTTGTTAATGTCATTTATGTTTTTCATGCTCGTTAATGTTAAGGGGCGGCTGTGGCTGAGTGGTTAGAGCAGTCGTCCTCCAATGGGAGAGTCGGGGGTTCGATTCCACCAGCAGTCACATGCTGAAGTGTCCCTGGGCAAGACACTGAACGCCTCATTGCCTCTGATGTGTGTCCCATCAGTGTATGATCTACAGCTCTGATTAGCCTTTGTATATAGTAGAGTGCATAAATGTTGCACAGACTGTAAAGATCTTTGAGTGTCTGGATCAGATA